AGAGTGCCCACTTAAATTCATAAAAGACAAGGAAGGGGCTCTGCTTACTTCTACAAATGATATCATGGGCAGATGGAAAGAATACTTCTCAGAGCTCCTCGGCGCTGAGGGAAGTCATGACCCAGAAATAATGGACCTCACTGCTGAGAAGGAATTCAATCATGGGGAAGATAACATCAGGATGGAAGAATTGAAGGCAGCTATTGAGAAGATTAAGCTGGGAAAAGCAGCAGGTCATGATGGTATAACACCAGAGATGGTCAAATATATGGGAGTCGAAGGTGAGCGCCTTCTACTGAAGGTTCTCCAGGCAGCCTGGTGTAGCAAAACTATACCAAAAGATTGGGAGATTGCCATCATTATACCTATATTTAAAAAAGGTGATAACAGACAATGTGAAAACCACAGAGGCATATCCCTCCTCAGCATTCCCGGTAAAAGTTAGTCTAGAATTCTTGAGCAGAGACTTAGAAGTCTGGTAGAGCCACAGCTGGACGAGGCCCAGTGCGGCTTCAGAGCAAACCGAAGTACTCAAGACCTTATCTTCACACTGAGACAGATGAGTGAAAAAGCCCTGGAATATAAGAGTGAGATTCACTTATGTTTTTTGGATCTGGAAAAGGCATTTGACAAGGTACCCTGGAACAAGCTCTGGGACTGCTTGGCAGGGAAAAACATCCCAGCACCCCTATCAGTGCAATACAGAGTTTCTACAAAAAGTGCAGAAATTATGTAAGAACAGCAGACCAAAAGTCAGAAGAATTTAAGACCACCAGCGGTGTTAGACAAGGTGATATTCTCTCACCTTACCTCTTCATTCTTATGATGGATGATGTCATCAAGACCTGCAAGGAGAAGACAAAGAAGTACTCTGTAGGGTACTGGAAGATGAGACCAATCTGTATATCAGAGCTGGCTTTTGCAGACGATGTGGCCCTGATAGCTAAATCAGAGGCACACCTTCAGTCCAACTTACTTGTCTGGAAGGAAGAGCTTGAAAAGAAAGGGATGACCATCAGTGTCTCCAAAACTAAAACCATGGTGATCTCAAGAGAGGAGAAGAAACACCAGATTATGATGGGTCAGTATGCGTTGGAGCAGGTTAACCAGTTCAAATACCTTGGAGTTGTATTAGACCAAAATGGAGGCATTAAGACTGAGCTGGCTACACGAAAAGCAGCTGCTGGGAGACTCTTCCAGGCCATAAACCGAGGGTTTCTTAGCAAAAAAGAAATTGGCAAGAGAACGAAAATGGCTGTTTACCGCTCTACCTATGTACCAGTCCTGACCTATGGGTGTGAGTCATGGGCAATGACAACAGCTCACAGAAGCCAGCTGCAGGCCTCGGAAATGAGATACCTGAGAAAGGTGGTCCAAGTGACAAGAAGGGACAAAGTCCGCAATCAGACAATACGTCAAGATCTTGATACCCAGCCCTTACTAACCCGAGTGGATCAGTCACAGTTACGATGGTTTGGACATGTGTGCAGAATGGGAGAAAATCGGCCACCATGGCAAGCATGGGAGGCTAAGAACCAGGGAACCAGACCTCCGGGACGACCCAGGGTGCGCTGGGAAGACAACATCCGACAGTCCCTGACTGACAGAGGACTGGAATGGAACAAAGCCAGAAAGAAAACTGCTGATAGAGACGTCTGGCGATCTCTCTGGCAAACCTCTACACCCCAAGGTAGAAGAGAAGCGACTAAGTAAGTAAGTAAGTATAAAGTATCACATCAAAAGCTCTAGATTAAATTCTTCACTGTCATCCTCACTGGAACCAGTGGAAGATGCAGCATAAACCTTTTCGGATGTAAAATCTTTAAGCATTTTCTCAGATGGAATGAAGTCTTTGCAACATTTCTTTGATATCAATAGTTCTGCTCTAATTGTGACAACTGCATCAAGAAAATCTAGTTGTATTTTTTGTTTCTTGCTTTTGATTTAGTTGAAGTAACAAGAGAGAATATTCTCTCAACTACAGCATTGCTAACGGGCATTATTAAGCAAGTAAGGGCGAAAGTGGCCAACTCTTTAAAAGCCTGGTGTCGAAGTACGCCTATCCAAAAATCTTTCCTGTTTGTAGGTAGTTCATCCTTCTTAAATGTAGCTTCTTCTTTCCAGTTGACAACAATCAGTTTTCTGTACTGTTCTTCTATAATACTGATGTTGTTTTCTGCCAGGTGTAAAAATGGTAGCTCTGAAAACTGTGTTCTTGATGCTTGATTTAAAACTGCCAAAGGGCTCAATTTTGACAGATTTTGAAATATATTCTCCGTGGGAAGTCTACACGTAATTTGATTGAGAGCTTCCTCTAGCACAGACATGCATCTTTCTTTAACATTGTTTATTTCTATCTGGATTTCAGTCCTGTTATTCTTCTGTAGGAACGCATTACATTCCGTTAGAAATTTAATACCAAAGTCAACGTGATGAATATTTTTTTTCTGCTCATTGACGTCATACAGTCTGTTCTTAAGACTTTTCGGGTGCATGGACATTTCTTGGTGTAGTTCATGAGGATCAGCTTTTGTTTGTTGAAAAAGACTGTTCAGTCTTTCAAATTCTTGTACAGTTGATGTCGCAAACACAAAGTACAAATATTTTTTCATGATTTGAAATCTACTAATTCTTGGTGCAACAGTGCACTGACATAGTTTACAATATGCTACCTCTGATCCGTCTGAAGATCTTTTGAGCCATGAGTATGTTTTCTTCCAATTACTATTATACTTGCGATTGTTGTCGTAAGATGCTTTCCATTTTTTTAGATGACGTGGCCATTGGTAAAAGTAATAAAATCTACCACAGTTAGAACTAGGTCTATATCCTATCTATTTTCTGTTCTCAAGTAGTTTCTGAACAGTCTGAGTCACCTGGTATCAGTGGTGGGTTTTCGTTTTTTATCTCGCATTTATTCTAGTAAATTAACCTAAATTACAGAGGTTTAAATCAGTCACGATCCGTTTAGGAAAACAACAAATACAATAAGAAAAGGCGCGAATCTCCGTTAGTCCGTACCAGGACATAACCTCAAATTCAAAATGAAAAAAAAAGATTATAACTGTAGGTCTACATTGCTGTTAGTGAATTTGCGTGTTTCTAACAGAGGAACCATGAAGAAAATGTGAGCACATCTTGATTAAAAATGCCAGGAAAAACCCAAATATGCCAGAATATGCCAGTTCATTATCTTATACCAGTTCAATTTCAAATATGCCAGATTTGTGGAATCTGGCATAAAAAATGCCAATATGGCAACCCTGAACAAACTCATAGCATCTCTCGGTGTGGCCACTCCCTAGCTAACGTTGAGGGTTTTTCAGAGCTTTTTTTAAAACTATGTTAGGTGTGTCATCACATAGGCTGTTCTAGAAGCTCCAGTTTCCTACTAATGTATGGCCTTTGCTGAGGTGTTTCCTTGCCTTGTTTAGTTCCTGTGTCACTTTAAGAATAGTGCTAATCAGTGGTGAGTGTTAGCCCTTCTAACAGTTTTCAACAAAATGAAATTCCCTGTGAACTTTCAAGATGAAACGTTGGCACTTAAAAAAGAGTAATTTGCCCCCCCCCCCCCCCCCCATCCCGTCTATCCATCCCCCGTGAGGCGTCGGACAGGGCATCTGCCCTACCCGAGATACCCTAGTTACGCCAAAGGAGAGGGGGAGGGAGGGGGAGAACCACTGTCATGCTTTCACCAAACAAATTGTAAAAGTCGACTAAATAGGGGAGTTTCCTTGGAATTCGGAGTGCATCTGTCCGAGAGGCGAGGAACCAACAGTCTGCTCACAAATAAGCCAAATCTGTGAAATTCAAGTACATGCAAAAAAAAAAAAAGTTCTGGAACAAGAGAAAATTCCGAAAATGGATGAACAAGCAAAATTTTCCGACAGCCGGACAAATGTGAAGAAGAAGCAGAATAATTATTATAATAATTATGATAACAACGAAGAAGATGATAACAACGATGATGATTTTAAACATGGTTATGGAACAGGATAGTGTTGAGCAACATATGCTGTGAACATCCACACGGTCTGTTTCTATTCTTACTGCGGTAGTAACGTTCACTGAGGTTATCGTTTAGGGCTCTCATATTTCAGCCTTCCAGTTTAGGTTAGTTGCGTATCCTTTATAGGACGTTGCAGAACCAACCCCAACAGCCACTGGCTGTTGCGTGGTTTTTCTAGGCAAATTTACATCCAGTAGTTTGCCATTGCCTCTGGACGGTCGGCTTTCTTGATACCACTGCCGAAACCAACGCAAGGCGCATGACCCGCAGCTGGGATCGAACCCGGCATCTCGGCATAACGACTTAGCCACAGAGCCGACTGCCTTCCAGTCTAGTAGATTCAATTATAAGTAGTGTCTGCTGTTGGATGTCAGAGGATATTAATTTTATCTCTCCCGCTCCACGCTTCAGTTGTTTGCGGGTTGTATGTCAGTCTCGCGGGGAGTGGATGTAGACGCTAGTACACTTTGTGTGTGAATGTGTGTTTGTGTGTGTGGTTTTTTTTTTTTTGGGGGGGGGGGGGAGGGGAATTATCGCTTCTTTTTCTTCTTCTTCTTCTTCTTCTTCTTCTTCTTCTTCTTCTTCTTCTTATTCTTCTTCTTCTTCTTCTTCTTCTTATTATTATTATTATTATTATTATTATTATTATTATTATTATTATTATTATTATTATAATTATTATTGAAGATAAAGCTCCTTAGGGGCCCCACTATTTTTTAAGGTGCGGGGGTTTAAGCCTTGAGCGTTCCCGCTCCCCTAATTTTGTCTCTGTGAGGGCGTGCAATTTTTAATAGTATTATTATCAATAATACTATTATTATTCTTTTCTTCTTGTTCTGCCTTTAAACTTCCAATGAAGCAGAGATTTTCAGCCAAGTCACCTTAAAGGATGTTGTTATAGTCTCTAACAATCTAATGAATGTTGATATAGTCTCTCACAATCTAATGGATGTTGTTATAGTCTCTCACAATCTAATGGATATTGTTATAGTCTCTCACAATCTAATGGATGTTGTTATAGTCTCTCACAATCTAATGGATGTTGTTATAGTCTCTCACAATCTAATGGATGTTGTTATAGTCTCTCACAATCTAATGGATGTTGTTATAATCTCTCACAATCTAATGGATGTTGTTATAGTCTCTCACAATCTAATGGATGTTGTTATAGTCTCTCACAATCTAATGGATGTTGTTATAGTCTCTCACAATCTAATGGATGTTGTTATAGTCTCTCACAATCTAATGGATGTTGTTATAGTCTCTCACAATCTAACGGATGTTGTTATAGTCTCTCACAATCTAATGGATGTTGTTATAGTCTCTCACAATCTAATGAATGTTGTTATAGTCTCTCACAATCTAATGGATGTTGTTATAGTCTCTCACAATCTAATGGATGTTGTTATAGTCTCTCACAATCGAATGGATGTTGTTATAATCTCTCACAATCTAATGGATGTTGTTATAGTTTCTCACAATCGAATGGAAGTTGTTATTCTCTGACAAACAACGCTGAAGCCTGAATATCAGATTTGCTCATGTTGCATTCGCAAACAAATTATTAATATATAACATTAGATTTAATAAAATATATACTATCCACTTGTGTTTTTGTTTCTGTCTTAGCCGTCAGCGGGTCGGCAAAATCTTTCTATCTCTATCTTTTTTTTTTTACCCCACCAGTACATCACACAAGCGATAAACACCTAATGACACAAAGTGTCACCATGTGGATAAGGATCACCCGTGGAGAGGTCCCAGAAACCGCGTTCAGCCATTAGACCATATTTATGGCTGGGCTATATTGCGGTCCCTGGCAAGAGCCAAAGTAGGGCTTCAAATAACGACGAATTGCATCCCACAAAGGGATGACAAGATTTAACCAGGGTCGGCGAAAATGTTTCTCCTAATTTCCTAGTCCAGGGTGTAGAAAAGGCTGAAGGCCATTGGTCTGGAGTTCAGCCAGTATGTATAGTGAACGACGGCTAAGAATGCAGGGCTCGCAATTTTTAATAGTATTATTATCAATATTACTATTATTATTTTTTTCTTCTTGTTGTGCCTTTCAACTTCCAATGAAGCAAAGATTTTCAACCAAGTCACCTTAATGGGGAACCCTGGTTCGATTCCGTGATGATTTGGGGGAAAAAATTTTTTCCGTCGGGGGCCAAAAATAAAATTCTAACCTGCACAATCCGTGGCAACAGCACTAGCTATGCGCCCTTAAATTCTCAGGCTTAATGACCTCTATACCTATACCCCAAAAGTAGTAAAATATCCGTAGTAATTGACAGTTGGCAGTAGCAATGGAAGGGTGGCAATGAAGGCTGGATAGTGTGCTTGCTTATCTGCCAAAACAGAGGTGGGAGTTTTATCTTCGGTATAGCAGGATTGTTTCTCTATCGCCACTGCTCTTCGTTGCCATGCTTCATAAAAATTGATAAATAAAGAACTCCGTGTACGACAGTGGCGCACCGGGCATATGGTGCTAATCTCTGGGCTTTTTCCTATTCAAAAGGTGCCGGTATTCACGAAACAGTTTTTTTTTTTTTTTTTTTAAATGCCTATACTCATCACAAAAAGTCTTTTACAATTGCGACGAACCAGAAAATGCGTACTGCGTCCCGTTGGGTGCCAGAAAAAAAAAGTTCTGGTAGACACAAATGTCAATTGACTTATGGGAACTTGATCGGTAACTTGGTCATCGTATATTACTCCTGTCTATTTTATGCTGGGTTGACCTGAGAACAACTCGTCAATTTTGGACAGAGAAAACAATTTCGCCTCTGTGCGGACCTGAACTCTAAACATTCGGGCTCGCAGAACGAACGTCTAGTCTCTACGCTACCGCTTGTCAGGTAAGTACCAGAGAAAAATGTTCACAGTTGTCTTGGGAGAAAAGGTGACGGAGAATGGAACAAGAGAAACCACAGTGTATGTCGAGACTTAGCATAAATGAGAGCGTAGCTTTGCACACCTCACGGCAACAGCTGAAACGGTACTAAAGTTTTAACCTTGAATGAATGACATTTAATAGCAGTTTACAGCTCATTGTATGTGTGTTGTGTGTGAGAGTATTGTGGGGGGGTGGGGGGGGGGGTATATGTATTAGTGTGTGTAGGTGAGTGTGTGTGTGTTTGAAAGATGGAGCATACAAAGATAAAGACACAGAGACAGATAGCAGTGTTACGGAAGGACTAGTCGGATTAAAAATATCTTTTGGTGCTGTGTTTGCAGCTAGGCTGCGATATCTTTGGACCCCAAACATCCGATTTCAGAAAATTCCGAATTAGTCACCTTTTACGACATGCTTGTTAGTGGGGCTGTGTGTGGTGTATCTGGTGGTGAGATGGGTATGAGAGAGAGAGAGAGAGAGAGAGAGAGAGAGAGAGAGAGAGAGAGAAAGAGAGAGAGAGAGTCTTCTCAGAGGACTAGTCGAATTTAAGATTTCCTAATGTGTTGTTTTCCTAGTTAGGCTGCCATATATGTGCTCTTCGGCACAACAAATCCTATTTAGGCCAACCCCCTAACTAGTCCCCTTTTACGACATGCTTGTTAAGAGTAGCAGTGGGTCTATTCTTGTGACCCCCCAAATGGTTCCCGGGACCCCGCTCAGAAATTTTAAATTGAGCGTTTCAGCAGCAATTGCTATTTCTATGATAACTGATATTCGTTAGGAGAATCTTTATCAGACCCATGCCAGACTAACGTTAAACAGACTTCGATTTCCGTCTGACTTCGTTTCCTGGATGAGCAGGCGCAAACTGAATCGACGTAAACTGAACCATTTGTGTAACGGAGTCAATAGAAAATCGTTGATTCGGTTTCTGGCACTAGTTTTCATTTTAGGATCGACTACAAAAAAAAGCACCCTGTCCCGAAACTGGGTTGTTTTGTCTTTTGGTGAAATTCATGATGGCCTGGAGAGAGCTGTGATGGAGAGTGCAGTTTCCTGAAAACGAGGCAAAGGTAGACCTCGGCGTAGATGGATACCAGACATTGAAAATGTATTGGCTATGAAAGCACACAATGCTGGAGAACTGGTTAGGGTGCTTTATTATTATCCTACCCCCAGATGACGTCACAGGACAGTCCAACATTTTAGAGGGTGGTAAAACGGTTTCCCGACTTTCTGATGCTTTTAACGACCACAAAACATATAGAACTGGTCCTAACCCCAACCCACCTACGTCCCACGACTGCATGCAGCCTAGGTCCCACGACTACATGCAGTCTATCTACCACCCCCGGAAATATTTGTCCCGTGACCTGTGGATCTCCCCTGTTTGGTGTAGGATAATAATAAAGCACCCTGGCTAGAGAAGAAGCAGCGTTCTGTAAAGGACCTGCTCACTGATAATGATGACTGAATACTGAGGGGTTCATGGTAGCGTAGGGCTGCAGATGCTACAGTAAAATAGCAAAGGGTATGTTAGAAAGACAGTGCAATCTATTAGATCTGAACAATTGTCATATAAAAAATATGGATTATAAAAAGCTATACCGACAAATCGTAGATAAAAGGTTACAGAAACAACAATATACCTACACTTTTCCTAATTATTGTTACACATACATGTGTGTGTCGTCTGGAAAGATCACTTGTAGAAGAGACAAAAGACAGACCGAGAGAAACATTGCTTGACGGCTTGAAGAGATGGCATGGTGGAATATCATCAGTCGAAGTGATGCACAATACCCTGGTCGAGATCTGTGGAGAGACATGAGCAGCTATGCCAGTTAGCAGGGCACACGATGATGATAAAGTAATTACTACTAAACTACAAACATTTTTCAACTGATGCCTGCCTAGAACAGGCGGAATTAAATTGAAAGATAGAATGACTGATGTTGAGTTTTGAGAGAGAATTTAACACATTCCAGCTAATCAAAAAGTCATGAAAAGATGCCGGCGTTGTATAGGACATACGTTGAGACTTGAGACAACCCAAGAACGATGTAATTAGAATGTTTTTGCACTGGAACACACAGGGACGTGGAAAAAAAGGCAGTCTAAAAGAGCACGCTAAGAAGGGAGCTAGATAATGAAATGAAATAGACACGGAAGACATCCAGCAGGTTGCATGCAAAGAGGACTACAAGAAAAATCCCTTGCAGCGGTAACAAGAACTTGAAGTAAAATATCAAATAACAAAAGAAACAATCACCGACAAAAGGTAGTTTAGCGCCCAAATATCAGTGTGATGGCTGACACTGTTTTGTCTTGATATCTGCTATTTTTGGTGTGATGCTGGTCAAGGCACAACATAGATCACTCTCCACATTAGACTGGCAACGCATTTATGTTTTTATGTATGTTAACGCGGAAAATCCGAACTCATAAAGATATGTGGAGGAATTCCAATTCCAATTTGAGGGGGGAAAATCCAAACTTGATCCTTTGTCAGCCACCCGTAGGGAAAACGGAGGCTGAACTTCACCGCATCCGTTGTTAAGGGCCCTAACATAGCCTATAGATTGAACTGCATTTCTGGAACTTCCCCGGGGGGTTCTCACCCGAATGGTGGCACCTTGTGTCACCAGATGTTTATCCTTCTTTGTAGGATCCTGGTGGGGTTGAAGGTCACTGACAATCGGCTCATGTGCACTGCGCATGTAATATCAGAACGAGGCCACATAGACAGTATGGTGATAAATTCTGGTCAGATTGTGTTCCTAATCTATAATTAAAATCATGTTACGAACACAAAAAACGTCCTTAACTATTTGTTTTATAGTTTACAAAAGTATTTTATATATAAATAAAATAACAATGTTTAGTGCAACAAATGGTCTCCCCATTTACACATCGCTACACACTAGCTCACTTCTGATTGGACGACCTACTGACCGCCTCACACTGATAGGTTGGCCTCGAGCGATCCGACTTCCACACAAGGTCACAGGAATATTCCACACTCGCCCTGATACCGCTTGTTTTATATTTCACCATGTTAGAGCTTTTAACACTTCTAAAACATTTAGATACTGAGTAACACACAACCCCCCCCCCCCCCCTTTTTTCTTCCCTAGTGAGTGGGAAAACCTATGTCACAGTACGTCTCTTTCTCGGAAAAAAACAAAACATAGATGCAAGACGACAACAGACTGCTGACACACATAACCTCGACCACGGTAGACTAGTCCAACCAGCTTATCAAAAGAGTTGACCTACAACCGGTGGTGTGTAAATGGGGAGACCATCGTATAAATAACCCAACCTACAAGTGCAAACGGACTCAGTTTTAAAATAGCTTAACACCCGACCTCCACCTCATCTACTGAAATCTGTCCGCGCCGCTAAGGCTGGCGACCACTGGTGTCGAAAGTTTTTAATATCATCAATCCATTTGGTCAATGGACGGCCTACTGTTTTTTCATTAGATCCGTTTATGTGTAGCGCCCGTGTCCGTAGATGCAATAAATTAATGACTTTCTCTTTGTTGAAAAGTTGTCAGAAACACATATTTATCTTATCTTTAAAGAAAATTGTTTTGACAATTGCTACCATTATCGTGATCCT